AAGAAAGTAAGAGGACCATGAATCTACTCTTTATATGCGGGTGCCATTCTTACATACATAGAATATCATTGCTACACAAGGTAACTACTTCCAATAATACATTAGTAATTAATTACCTAACTGAAACGAATCTGAATCCGTTTTATAGCACTTTCTGTATTTCAAGATCAGATACGATAGAAATTAATATAAGTCTGATATCCCTAAATATTATTGGAATAATAAGGTACTAATTAATCTCCACTAAATTGGTTTAAAATAAGTGAATGACATTTACATCTGTAAGTACCATGTTACAGTCTACTTTAATTAAACTATTTTCGTGTATATCGAATAAGGATGCACTTCCTGTTTTCTTAAAATTATAAGTATGGGCGTTACCGGTCTGGGGTCAATGATTCTCGTTTGTGTCATCATGAGTTTAATTAACCTTGCTTCTTTCTTCTTGTATTATTATTGCTTCGACTGGGGTATCGATGTTGATATTTTCTTATATTGAAATACTTATTTTCATTGCTTATAGTAAGCTACGTAAGAAAATATCAATTTTGACTATACATAGGTAGTGCTTGTAGCGTTTAAAGAAGGCACACGATAGTGAATGGGTATTAACAAAATTTCTTAGGTTTGCAACCCACTCACTCGAAATTTGAGCTACTAAAATACAGTCTCTTTTTACCAGCCATTATCCACATTTACTTTATCAAGGGTAGCAGACCAAATAATTTGCACAAAACTTATTTTAAAATTATTGTAAGACTTTCAACACACATTATTACCGTAATTAACTGCAACCGCTGCACTTCTAGGGTATCGATCAGTCTCTTAATTTATTGAGTGAAATCATTGCAGCAGAGGCAAAATTCTCGTCTTTATTATCGACTCAACTGAAGCATAGATTTAAATTCCACATTTTAGTCCCAATTTTAATCCATCGTATCGTACATTGCGTGTTCTATTCTATGGAGGAATATAGAAGTTGATAAAGCATTTCATGACATCTATCACAAAATATATAAAACATGTATTTCTGTACCATAGTTCACTCTTTAATACAGTAATATTAATAATCAGCAGAACTATAATATTATGATGATGATGTCACAAGCCAGCTTCGTGACAAGGATAACGTAAAACAAATCTCTAAATTACTATAGTCTCCGGGATTCAGTATCCCTTAACTACCTCACAAGAATTTAGACGCCTTTGATTCTACGTTAAACTCAACTAGACAATTGAGAACTCCGTTATTCAACTATCTGACGGGCTTATATACCCTTCTACAGCAGCTAACATTCACAAGTCATCTTATAAAAATACTTGGGTGAGAACATCTACTAACTAGTTTTTCACAGTCGGACTACAATATGTCCATTCACAGAGTGATTTCAGCACACATTACATCACAGCAATAAATTTACTGTAACACATTTATAATTAGAGTAATTCCTATTGTAAGGAACTAGATGTAATATATTATCACTATATTATATTAACCAAATTTAGATAACTATTTCTTCACGGTAGTTCGTACCGTGACAGATGATTACAAATTATCTCTGCAGTATTTTAAGGACGAGCACCCGAATCTGAATTCAACAAATTTCATTAAAATTATTTAAAATGCAATTGTTTTAACAAGCAGGATAGACGCCATTAGCTTTGAGCTCATTGATATACTATAAAATTATATACTTACCTCTCTCATTACTGTTGTATTTATTCGCGGTTATTTGGTATCGTTATTTATTCAGGCTATTGAGAATCATACCCCGATTATAACCGTTATGCAACAATATTATCAAGTGTAGTGTCATTACGCAATATATTTTAATAGCGCTAAATTAGTTAACTACGTCACATATTGGACAATAATATTATACTAAAGTAATTTTGAAGCTAATACATTTGATATTTGATGCACTGCTATAATCTAAGTTGAAAGACCATAATATCATGTCTTATTCATTAATTTAAATCGTATAATACCTTGAAGATCAATTATTGTCCAGGACAGATGTTAAGCTATATAGCGAAACCCGGTGAATAGATTGATAAGTAAGTGTACGCTGATTTCCTCTTGTAGTTATTAATAGTATTTATATTAGTCAATGGAGTCGATTTGTAATGGTAATAGACGAAACATGAAATAACAAGAAATTTATCTCTGTGGCATCAACAAAACATTCACAATTTTAACTGCTAAACTGTGTATCGTCTACTATGCCTAAAAGTATTCAATAACTACATAAATTAGTTAATTCCTTACCTTTAAAAGTGTAAGCTACTTAGTACTATAAGAAATAAGTATATGTTAGCTAGAAATGCCAGTAAAAGTGCTATAGGAAGTAGTATTTACATTGAACGAATAAATTTCAAAGTAATTGTGAGACAATCTGGATAAATGTGCACCTGTAATGAATATATTTGTAAATATGATATATTGCAATAAGCTAGTCGTAAGCTATCTCATTTTTAATTTATCTTCAATCAGATCAAATAAAACTTAATGTTGAAATACTAACTTAATTACTGTTACTAAAAGTCGATATGATATATTACGAAAAGTTGGTCCTAAGTTATCTCATTTTTAACTTATCTTCAATCAGACAAATAAAACTTGATATCGAAATACTAACTTAATTACTGTTACTAAAAGTCACATTTAAAAGTATGACTAAAGTTTATCCGTTAGTATTTACTACAGTCGTTAATAGTTTGCATCAATTTAATCAAGCACTTGCATAATTGATTGATTATTATATTTATTATAAGACAGCAATTTATCTCTAATCGAATACATGATGGATTTAGTTTTTCCATCTTCAAATGCTTGATAAGAGCTTTATCCTACTCGATAAACGTATTTTTAGGATTTTATGAAGCAGCTTCCTTGTGTACTATTTCAATAATACCGTATAACAAGGGTGAACAAACAAGGTTACAACTAGAAATTAATATGAAACAACATAGATATAGTCGAGAAATAGTATTAAACATAACAAGGGGTGCAAGGCTAAAAGTAAAATTCATTTGGTTGAATGAAAAAAAGTGGGATAACGTCCTAATTTGATAATGCAGAACTATTTAAATCGAATGCTTTAATTAAATTTAGATCTTCATATTGATAATGTGAACTAAATTACCGTTAATTTTACTTGGTATTTTACATTTAGACGGTATCAATAAATCGCTATAGATATGTGTACGTGCGTATATTTATATCATTACCTAACATTAAGAAGACTATCACATCTTCAGTGTAATTTTATCACCGAAGGATATGGAAAACAAAGAACTTTAGAAGACCTTTAGATCGAATCTAATTCATGTTATACATTCGAATATTTTTTTACAAATTTTTCGAATTAACAACAAAGCGTGTTTTGAGGGATAGGTTTAGTACTACGAAATTATCAAGTGACCTTATCTTATGTAATCGATATAAAAATGAAGGAAATTTATTTATTAAAATCGAGAAGAATGAACTGATTTATACTGACGAATAATACTAGCTAAACTTTGAATATAACTATCTAGAATCGAATAAATATCTGCGACGTATTATATGACATATGCTTGGTATTATCATTCGAGCTGTAGTCTCGTAATTCTATATCAAGATATAATATATATATTTGCGCACATATTTTATATATATCCACGTTTAAGAACCAAGTGGACCGACGATCGTGGATTTATGATCAGCTTTTTGGTATCTTATTTACCACAAAGACACCAAATAGGATTAAATATCAGATGTTATAAGTAGATTGATGATGATCTAAAGTGACAAGTTATAACACCAAATAAATTTCAGGTGAGATATCTTGAAAGTTTCTTTGAATTCCATAGTAATACCGCTATGCCATTTCTTGTTCAATTTATGGCATTTGTGGTTATTAACTAACGATGATTCAAAATAACATAAAATACAAGTATAATAATAATATATAATAACTCCTAAATAGCCATCGTTTTCGAAATCCTTGGTATCTACACATAGAGTTGGAACAAATATTATTGAAGACTTTTATAACTATACACTAGCGGAATATTTTGAAAGTATGACTGAAAATCATGCATCGATGTATGGACTTCTTTTTAAGAGCTTTTATCGCCAACATGTATGATCATGCTTAGAGGGTTTGAATTCAGATGATCTTTGACATTCTTGGTCTTAACAGCTATTAAACAGTCCCATTGGCTACGGAAATAATGTTGCAATTAAATCAATTCAAGGAAAATAATAGGGGAAGAGTTACATAATTATCCAGCATATGAATATTTTCGTCTTTTCATCATCTTGTAGCTATGTTGATAGAATTATTTCAAGCCTACCTCCATGAGAATAACATGAGATAGGTTTTCATCACAAAATGGTGCAACCTTGTATATATTTTATTCTTAAGATGTGCCAATTGTTTCTTACAGCTGCAGCGACATTTGATGTGATAGTCGATGTCAATATAATTTGAACTTACTATGTACCATGTCTAATTCCATGAGAAAAAATGTCCCATTGTAAAATGTTGATACTATTTGCTTACTTATGATGGTTAAGGGAGAAAATTTATGAAGATGATGATGACGATCATGCCATAGCTAAATTAGTTAATATTTGCTGCAATAGAAGCCGCATGTTGTTTAGCTTTTAAACGTAAATCGGCAACACTATTTGTTGGACACTGAGGATGATAGCCATATCTTGGCAAAAGGCTCAAATTAGGTGATGATAAATAGCTTGGTGTTTCCCGTGATGAACAGCACATAGAAGGGTTTGCATAAGGCTGAATAGGACAGTAGGTTGGATATTGGTAAGAACTGACTGCAGCAGCAGCAGCAGCGGCAGCAGCTGCTGCTGTCTGGTTATTTGGTAGATTCCAGCAATGGCTAGGTGATAAAAATGTAGAGCCATACAGCACGGCGCTATTCTGATAATCTCGCTTATAAAAATCGCTAAAATTGTCTTTGTCGTAGCCATTGCTAGAATTACCGCATCGTTCGCGTTTGCGCCATTTTGCTCGTCGATTTTTAAACCAAACCTAGTATACATTAAGATAATAGATTAGTAAAGTAGGTTGAGTTTATCTTCAGACATCATGATCAAGTGCAATTAGAAATTGTACGTGTTTGTAGCCATTGACAACTATCATAACTCTAAGGGCGAGCTAAGTAATTGCTTTCTGTAAAACAACACTTCATCGTTATTATTCTAAGAAGGAAATTTATTTTATCTCATTGAAATCGAAGTATAAAGATAAATTATGATTCAGTATAAAAATCCTATCGACAGTAGTATATTTTAAATCCGCTAGGCTAATTAATAGATCGTAAATCCAAGTATTGAAGCGTAAAACTAAGCGACATACTCGGACACGGGATTCATTTAAGTTAATCCACATAGCTATTTCTTCTCTTGTTGTCATATCCGGATAGCGATTACGAGCGAAGGCAGCTTCTAGTTCTTGCAATTGATAGCTTGTAAAATGAGTTCGTTGCCTTCTTGGGCGGCGCTTTTGACCTTCATCTTCGTCTTCACTATCGATGCTAATGGAATCATCTAATTTTCGTTTCATACTTTCCTCTACAATAGTGGAGAAAATGAAGAAGCGAACTTATGAGTAATTTAATTTTATTTCTCAGGATAAATAAATAAAAGCTGAAGATGTATGTCTTGAACAATTAGTTTTTTTAAGTGATAATAGATTATTTAAAGGCTAAGGAAGAAAATTTGAATCGAACTAGGATGGAGCATTACTATGATAATTAGGCCAAATTGTCGCCTTCTTAGTTTCTAATAAAAACCCTTGTTAATAACTAAAGGGTAACTTTAAAATTAAAGGGAAAAATACGATAAGTAAAGGTAACAAGCGGATTTGGCATACAAAAAATAGATTTGAAGTTGTTTTATGGCTTTGTGGCGCTATTAAGTAGTAATATGGATGACAAGATGTAAGAAAATGGACGATAATTAATCAATCTGAATTTGGTGAATGCTTGCTTAATTTCATTGGTGAGACTCTAGCAGATAGAAGCATTATATTGGATATAGAATGGAAATAGATTGAAAATTCACTCATTTTATGAAGAAAAAGATCATTGAATGCTTGTTCCGCAATTATAATGTAAGTAATAAATTAGATGAGTCATTGATTTGATGGTAATTTTTTTCCTCTAGGTAGGATAGCACTACAAGTTAATGGAATAAACCATAAAGATTGATGTTCAAATAATGATGATCGTTGAAATTTCAAGATTGTCTTAACGGTGATGTTTAACTAATAAACTTTATGAAGAATTGAAGTTAGAGTCGTTAGCAAGTTGATTTTGTTTTTTAATCCGCTGGAACAGAATCTAATCTATTCTCTCTTCATTTGCGCCTAACGTGTATTGTCATTTTACAGATGCATTAGACAATACATGCTTCCACATATATATTGACCTTAACCGTAATTTTGATACGATATCTTAAAATTAAATTATAGGACGCACATAATGATTTCAAAGAAGCCTGAATCATTCAGCAAAACAACAAATTAAACAATAACTACCATAAAAATGCAAGATTAGATAAAACAACTTTCTGTCAATATTGGGTAATAATTGTTAGTGGTTAATGAGAATTTGGCGACTCTGGATTAGCATTGATGCAATTCTAATAGGAATCGATGGCTATTTAGTACAAATCAAATGGGATGTCGATTATTATACTTGTCATCATTGACGATAACACAATCATCAAGTAGAAAAAATATTTATTAGGACAGTAAAAGTAATTATTATCTGGTCTCAAGTAATATGCATAAAATTAATATCAAAAAATTATTTTCATATCCTTAATAGCATGTATGTGGGTGTATTGAGACGACAGCATGTAAAATTAATTGATTGATATTACTAACTTTAAGTGAGATCGTATTAATACAGAATAAATGATATTGATGGATTAACGCAAGAAAATTAAACAAAACTTATTAACTTAAAATTCAAGCCGTAAGACATGTCAAATAGTTTCTTAAACAGATAAAAAATATATCGTTCTTTCGTATTAATAATTTCTAACATTGATCGACTTCGTGCTAATATAGAATTAGGTAAAGTTATTCCTACTGCTTCAACTGATAATTAGTTAGGTTACTAGCTTTCATTTCGCCCGGCGATAAATACCATATTACTGCATCGATGAATTTTGACAATATAAAATTTTAACTGTTAAGACTGCAATAAAATTGAAAACCTACAATATGCCATTATTGACTGTCTATATGACTTGATTGAAACGGTAATTAAATCAATGCATACTTGAAAATATTACATTCTAATACGCTAACCAAGGAATAATATATGTACTCTAAAGTAAATTTTATTCAGCCATTATGGTAATCTGTAGGTAAAAATAAGTGGTGTTGATTTTTAAGTAAATACTAAAATTAATGCTATCATCAATTCAATATCATTTCTCAGTTGAAATTAAGGCTAATAATTATTGTAGCTAATGATTATGGAAGATTATTAATTTCCTGTCTTGTAGTTGTTTTGTCTTGATGTTATGATAATGTCTAGCAGTGTAACGTATCTAATTTTCTTTGCCCTGTACATAGACATATAATTACAATAAAATTGAACGTTTTCAATTCCCCATTTTTTTCTTCCTTCCTCTATTTCCTACACTCTCTCTCATTTCTTGTCCTCAATCAACTATCTGACAGCATAGGCCACCTATGCATGTAATTCTCATGTATAAAATAATTTAATCTGATCGCTTAGAAATAATCAATTTTAATAAAATTTCATAAATCAATATGCGCAATATACGAACAATACCATCATCATCAATCCGTTAAATAAAAATATCTTAATCATGTGTTAATATTCTAGGAAATTTAAAATCGAAGAATTGTATACTCAAGAAGTGGAAGATAAAAGCTCTGATGTTAAAGTTTCACGATATGATTTTTTCTTTACTATATAATTATAGCACTTAATTTCTAATATAGGAATTTAAGTTTGATTAAAGAGTAAAGGGCAAACGGCTGTGATCAATTTTTTTTATTATATGGAAACTTAAATAAGGTACCAATACATTTGGTAATCCTGATGAATTGATTAAGTCTTTTAATTTATTACAACCGATTTGATAAAGATTATTCTATTCACTTAGTATTGCAATCTTACCAATAGAATTACTGTAGGATGGTTACTAACAGTGACTATTGATAGTATAACAGTACGCGATGATGAATTGTGCCTTGGATAAGTCCAAAAGCTATTTAATAGGGTATTAAAGCGCAACTTATACGTAAAGTAAATAAAATGATCCCAAAATATTCAATCGAGAACAATATAATATTTACCCTCTAAATTAGCTTTTGTGGAGCGTTTGAATGTAATGCTTCCAATCTTTAATTCACTAATATCCATAAAATTCTCTTCATGTGATTTTCATGGGTAGACTAATATAAAACGATATTGCCATCACAGATCAAGCTATTTGTAGTATTGAATTTAACTTAATTATCTTTGAAGGGACTAACATTGCGTATAAAAGTGTTTATAGGCTATTTTTTTACCACTGAAGTCGGTATCTGAAGTTTATAGATGGAGCGTTAGATATGGAAATGATTGTTTCTAGTTCATTCTTTTAAATTCAATTTTACATGTTGGTTATTAATATTTGGTATAATAGAAGCCATGCTTTTGTATAAAGCGCTCTGCTGACGAAATTTAATGTAGTAAAATTGTTGTTAGCAATCTTAAATTCTCAAGCAAGATGTTTGTTTAATGGTCGGCTATAAGTCTGGGAATATGTTCAATATTACATTAATTACTTTAATTTATAAAGGCTTTTATATCTTACGAAAAATGAAAATGATTATGTCATTTGCAGCCCTTTATAACCTCAAAAGCATTTGTACTATCTATTCAGGTGATAGATGGTGATATAAGACCATTTTTATATCTACTGTAGTAGTAATCAATAGCGGCAGATGCTTTTAGTGTATTAGTAAATAAGAACGATCCATTAAAAGATTAGCAATTTAACCGATATAATAGACAATAGTCACTACAATTTAAGAAATTGTGCTGATAATGAAAAATAAACCGATTTTAAATGTTGTACTACAGTATCATTACTGGCTTATCTTCGTACTAAAGAGAAATTATTAAAAGAGAGTGATGCAAGCTCAGGAAATAAAGGTCAAAGTCATATAAATTAATTCTGTATTTTTCAAACGCTGAATGTAAACAGATTAAATCGTCTGATAGGGTTGAAACTGATTATCGTGTTAGTTTACTATTTTACCAATGTATACGTAGCAACTGTCTAGTTGTTAAGCAAATTACAAAGTAATAAATCGTTACTAGGTAGTGTAGACGTTAACTGGTTGAAGACATAATAAATTTAATGATCTTTTGTGAGGAAACTTAAATATTGAAAGTGATGGTTTTGACTACTTGTCTAATAGAAAAGATCTATAGTTCCCACACGCTTGCACGATTTAATTTAAGTATTTTATACTTTCATGTCTTCTATACATGTTATCGTATTAAAAAAGAAGTTACAGATATTCTACTAGACACAATCGCATTTAAAGTTCAAGGATCATAGACAATAATAATTAGGAGTTTTGATTGATATATGCTGTCGACCGGTCGATCATAGTGCAATTTCTGCTAGTGAACTACTTTCAAACTAAAATCGTCTGTTATACCGGTTTAGGCTTCAAAGATTATCAATAATAAATTAGTTATCAAACGGTTTTTGGCATCTGGGTAGTTTGCAATTGCGTAACGCTTCTAGCGGCTACGATTGTTTTGATGTTTAAATAGCCTGATGCATTAGTGGATTCGATTAAGCAGACATCAAGTAGTGGATAATATTAGATTTTCACCTAGTTTGTAATGATTCTGGTAACTTATATTCTACACAACAATCTAACCTATTAAAGATCATTTTGTTGCTAGGATTCATGCTGTATCGTTGGAAAGCAGTATTTATAATATTATCATAAAAATAGATGACATAATAAATAATCAAAATTTAACTGTACTGGGTAAAGGATAATTAATTTAGTCGTATGTTATAGTCAAGAAAGGTACTATTCAAGACGTTTATAGAAACTAAGATGACTGAATACAGTCGTCGTTGATTAGTAGTATGACTTGATTCTAATCAATTTGCATAAGTGATTGCGAATTTTAAAATTTGACATAGATTCTAAATATTTTGCTTGCTACCGTAGAAACTGACTGTCACTAGTAAATTTTATGCGTAAATACATAATTAGTAAATTTTTATCGTTGACTGATGTCAGTTATTACACTCTACAAATTATTTTAACTGATTTATGAAGGCAGAGTATCATATTCAGTAGGAAAGTGTAAAGAGTAGAAAAGACGAAAATGTAAATAGCTAAAGGCTGAAGAAGACTATTAGAATCTATATATCGATAACAGTGAGGCATTTTGCAAAATGATCGATTTCGCATCCGGCCTCGTTTATATAAATTTACGTAATAAATGATTTAATTAT